AAATATGTTAATGAGGAGCTAATGAAAGGCGTGCTGATTTTTAAAGCTGAATTTCATCATACCACTATATTTTTTTGGTTTTAAATACTTAATTATATTTTCATTTTCTTTAGTAGAGGTGTGGTTCAGTTTAATTTTTGGAAAGGGAATCGTGAAAGCTCGAGACAGACAATCTGAATATTTGTCCGCATCTGACTGTATAATGTGGCCAATGTTTGCATTATTGGTACTGATCTTGTCAGCTATTGTTCTAAAATTATTATTAAAAGAATCTGTAATCACATCATGATTATCGGTTAACTTCCCATTAATGTTTAAAAACTGTATACCCGCATTATTGATTTTTTTGCCTATGTCTGATTTTATAATGCTCCAGGTGGTTTTCATTTTGTTACTAGAATTAGAAATTAATTATAATGAAGATTTTTAGTTCCTTTAATAACACTGGCTAACATTTTACGCTATGTTTTATAATAATATTTTACATCTGGCTCATACCGTGCTGAATCCCTGGGAAAATAAAAGAATTTGATTCCAGTGTGCTCACTGCATTACACGCACCCAGGAGCAAAACATTTTCCTATTCTTCCCATTTAGCCTGCAAGAAACAATACAAAAATTATAACACAATCACAGTACACTCAAGAGTTTCTTTAAATCTACGGTCCTTCTTTAGGCTACACCGAAAGATGTTTAAAATACAGAAATACGATTTCGATGAAATATCGTAGCAACACTTTTTGACTTCATGTTTGTTTTTAATTTCACTGGTCATAGTAAGCATAATAATCCATATACAAAAATAACACACAGATGTAAATTCGTGCGTAAATGTCGACTCTCGTTTCACAACATCAAATCAAAATCCTTACTTACTAATTAATCTAATTAATTGCACGACATACCTCAATGGCGCACACATAACATTACAAACCACGCAGTATTACTGAGTCAACGCCCAAAGCCTTGAACGGAAATTCAAGATTCTCTGATTGGCTTACACTTAGCGATTCGATTAATTGCGATAGGTGTATTATGATCTATTCCAATCATTTCCAGACTATCTAGTTCATGTAGGATGCGTAGAGATGGGACTTATGCATGTTTCCCTTTCACCTATTCCAGTCTCACCCCCCTGGTCAGGAACACCCCCGAGTCGGTGACTTTCCGCTGTCTTCTTCGGTTCGTTGCAATTACTCAGTTTTACGTCACTCATTCGTCAGTGACGCAGAACGTGTGCTAGTCGGAGGCAATCACAGTTCTGTTCAGTCTGTTTCGACGTGATATCGTTACATCGCAGTGAGTATGAAGAGAGTAAAGCATTTGCAGCTCTTCATTGTGTCAGATAAAAGTGAAAGCGATGGTGCTAGTAAAAAGGCTGTTTCACGTGGGAACCAACTGCACCTATTATGAGAAAAAATGGTGTGCTCTTTGCCAGCATTCACTTGGCCTTCGTCAGATTCCAGGCGCCTCACCTGTCAGATAAGCTTTTATGGCCAAAAGTTAAATTATTTGGCGCATTTCACGTTGTGAAATTGCAAGAAAATATAATTCATCGAGTTGGATTTGAGGTTCTCTGGCTATAGAAAATGCTGACTCTGGAAATGTAACGCGGTGTGGTAAGTCAACCGACGTTTTGGAGGGATATACTACCTTCATCTTCAGGGCCGAAGGGTAAGAAGAGAAAGAAACTAGTATCAGCATGCAGCAAACAGAGCACGAAGAAAATAACAGAAGTGTATAGACCTAAAGGGAAACTGCAAGCCAACTAATCAGCCCTCATTGGCTCTCTCAGAGGCAGAGTAAACAAAATGGAGACCAGGGGATATTAACAATATCTGAGCTTAAAATGGCCGTTGTGTCACTTGCACATACTGGAACACAGAGGAACAGTGTGTGGTGACCTCTACAGCAGCGGTATACAGACTCAAGCAGCAGTCCCATAGAAAACAAAAACGTAATCTTTTCTGACTGCTTCAGTACCGTTACGTCACTGTTGTGTGTGTGACAAGCGCTTACGGAATGTGCGTTCCATTGATTAGGCTTCTGTGCTACGCGTAATCTTCATTATGTGACTTTCACTGGCGACCTGCCATTACCGGGAACCGATACAGAGCGTGTCGGCTACCTTCTGCATACAAAATATGAACAGGACGTTCAACTGTCCAGTCCAGGGGACGTGACTCACCTGAGGCATCAGATGACCACTTGGCCAACAATAGGTTCGAATTATCTGCCAATGTTACACGTGTCTGCTTATTAGACGAAGTAAACAGTAAACATAAAGAATTACTGGGTTTTTTGGACATTTTCCACCGTGGGGGATTCTATGAAATAGAAAACACGACGTTTCGGAAACAGATCCAGTTTCCGAAACGTCGTATTTTCTATTTTTTAGAATTCCAGACGATGGAAAAAGTCCAGAAACCCAGTAATTCTGTGTGTTATCCACCAATGTCAGAATCCTTTAGAGTAAACATAAACTTAAATCTTTTTATGTCATGAATATTAGGGACACCAGTTCCATCCCCGGCATGGTAAAGAGATTTTGTCTCCTCCACAGCGTTCAGACAGGCTCTAGGGCTCACCCACTACCCTATACTATGGGTTTCGGAAGTTGTTTCCCAGGGAGTAAAGAAGCCTGGACGTGAAGCTAACCACTCACCTCCATCCAGTGCCGAGGTCAGGAATGGTGAGCTATTCCTCTGTTCCTCATGCGTCTCCATGGCGTGATGTCTAATTAATTAAGCAGAAGGAAAAAATCAGCTAACACTCCTCCAAAAGAGTATCATTTTGATTCCTATCTGCAACATGAATAAAAACCTTCGGATGCTTACACCACATGACGCTCAAATATAATATTTTATGTTTATGTGGGCGATCACATTTCGTGTTGCTCAGCTTTGTTAAGATTTTGAATTTGCGTTTCAATAAGAAGCTAAGAAGCATCGGCCATTTCGACAATAAAAAAAACGGGAAAAGAAAATAAACCAGCAGAAGTAGGCGACAGGCTGATGCCTAATTTACTCTTTGATACTGAAGATGGAAATGATATGTTTCTTCGAAACGTAAGGAGCTCTCCTCACTACACGGCTTAAAACCAGAAAGATCCATTTTTCATAGTCACAAAACTGTGAACTTCAAATCCACATTTAGACTAAATTTGATTTTAGAACATTTTACCAAAGAAGCAGTCTGCATGTTACCTCCACTTCGTGATAACCATGGCGACTAAACTCGTTGAATTTAGGGTTCCACTAGCCCCCAAATCTATTATATTTATGGTACCGACCAGTAAGTTTCTAACGAGACAGTCTCCCAAAGCACATTCCTGACAGGGTAATTGTGTGTCCATTTCGTAATATTTTCGGAGAACAGCAATTTGATATCCACACATTATAAAACATAAAAGAATGAATAAATAAATAAAGAAGCTGCCTTTTAATTTTCAAATTCCTAACGATGCACCTTATGGAAGTATAGAGTACACTCACTGTAACACCAGTAACTAAAATTTATGCCCATAATGGCAATGCAAGTGTCCATCAGACACATTCAAATTCGATTCCCCTCTGGATCACTGGCCAATTCTGATTATATGTATGACTTATCAAATTGTTCCAATGGTAATTTAGGCGTTTGCTTTCGGGATTACTGAATTCTTCCACAAATAAATGCCCTGGAAGATCACACGTTTCGAAAATTTGATCTGTTTCATCGTGTGGTGGGAAAGCTTCCACTCAGTTGGGTCCGTTAGAAATAATCTCAGTAACTGGGACAATGGGGTCTACCGGAGGGCACAAAGAGTTTCAGTTTCCAAAATGTTATGTTTTTTTTAGAACATCAGAAAACTGATGATGATCAGAAATTCTGTAATCCTGAATTTAATACATTTCTATTTAGGATACTTGAATGCTTGAAAAATTCAGTTAGCTAATGTCTTGAAATACACGACTTTCCTCATGACATGTAAATCTCAGTGAACTGCGACCAAAGGATTGGTGACTGAAATTGGCTTTTTCTAAGGGACACATCTGAGGCTATGCCTTCCCGCCCTTTAACTAGAAGATGTAAACAGATCGGGTTTCACGAAGGTAGTGTTCTTTCAGAATAGTAGAAAGTGGGCGATCGTCATAATTAATTAGAATTAAATGTGTTTGATTTTGTTTAGGCCACTCTTCCACGCTTGGAATACTTTCTTGTCATACATGGATGCTTCTGGGCTACCTCTGTGTTTTCAATTACTGTTTCTCAGAAACGATAAGATATAATTTCCAAACTTTCTCTTTCAGGAAACGCTTACCCAAGGCGAGGAAGCTGGTCTCGAAGTCGTGACTCAGAAGATGAGTTAGAAGACAGACCACAACGAGGAGGATATTTTGGAGTTCATGCTCCTCCGCCTAGGGACGGTTTTGACACACCTGAACCAGATATGCACGTTGAGGACGAGGACGACGTCTTCGAGCGTGACTACGGTAACAGTCCAGTGCGCAATGTTAATAGACGAGATGCCTACAGCAAGCGCCAGATTCAACGGGAGAAGATCCATCACCATCACAAAGACGACCACGATGACCGCATGCCCTTACATCGTGGTCACCGCCCACTAAAAACGAACGTTCAGGTATACCGCGGTGGTAGAAGTCGAGTTTCTGAAGAATCCAGAGTTGTACCGCACCAGAGATACCGCAGCCCTTCTAAGGAAGATACGAGGCCTCAGCGTCAGACACAGAGCCCTCCTAGAGGAGGAAGGAACGCTTCAGATGAGGATATAGTTCCAGAGAGGCGACAGATGGGACATCGATTTCGCAGTCCTACAAGAATGGCGAGGGGCGATCAAGACTTCAGTCCTGAGAGGAGGGACAGATTCCTGAGTCCAACACGTAACGCAAGGCTTCAACAACGTAATCAGCGCAAAACAGGCGAAGACATGGGCTATCCTGTCGAAGAGGTACCAAGATATCGCGGTGGTCCTCGTGAAAGGACACCAAATCCTTCCCGAGGACAACTTGCTCTCACCCAACAACAATCATTCAACGACGATTCAAATTCGGATATACCTCTGGAACGTTATCGCAACCAGCAACCGACTCCCCGCCATCACATAAAAGAAGACGAGGAGACCGGAAGCCCTGAACCGCACAGGCGGAATATGGAGAGCCGGCTGCCACGTGCTAATCAATTTCAGATGCCTGGAGGTGGCGAAAAGAAGAGGCGCTCAATGTTTGAGGTACTGGAGGAAGAACGGAGACGCAGTTCAAATGAACTTGCAAAGGAATTCAAACGGCGCTCTTATCAAGATGGCGGCGGATCTGAACTCTCTTCAGGCAACAGAGGCGTCGGTAACCACAACAACGGCGTCTCTAACGGCAGACATTCCGGCTATCAGGAGTTATCGGAACATGAGAGGTTCCCAGGTCTTGACAGAGATACAGCTAGACTCCAACATCATAACATGTCACCATCAAGTGGAGGACACCTCAATTTGAAGAAGTCTTCTGGGCCGCCACCGCCGCCAGATGTAGTGCCTGCTCCATCTTCAAGGTACAGACACAGCTACGCCGAGCCTCATCACATGTTGCCACATCCACAAGCGTCCCACCACCATGAGATGCTGCACAGAACGAATAGTTCCGTGTCTTCTGGCAGAGTTGGCATCGCCGCTGTGCATCCTTACTGAATCATACAGAAGATATGGATACGAAGGATTGTGCCATTCAACGTAGATTGTGATACATGTGTATGCATTTTAGTAATGTTGCAAGTCATCGACAAGAACCCACCTCAAGTGTAAAATGATATGAAAATATACACTAAGATATTCTGAAAATATCAAGAGTGACTGGCTGCAGGCTGAAAGATCGGGTTTCGATTACCGACTTGGGCAATAATTTTTGTATTCGCTACCTTATCTAGACCTGACGGACGACCGATCCAGTCTTCTATCCAATGGATACCGGAGGTTCTTTCCTCAGGGTAAAGTGGCCGAAGGGATAAACTTAACAACTCGCCTGGTGAACACGTGAAGTCTTCTACGCATCTACATGGTTTGATGATTAAACGGACAGGAATAATTATATCTTCAAATTTTATTTCAATTAAATACAATACATACCTACTGATAATCTTACGAACATCGTTAAAATTGAAAGAACAAGAATATGTGATTAATTTTTAGTTAAGGCTTGCAAGATATTAATGTACTTACAGGAATATTTGTTGATTATATCAGAAACCAAATGGAGATATTTAGTAAAATTAAAATGGTGCAAGTTCTGAAATTTTTATGGAAACTAAATACGATGAAGTTGTCTTGGACCATCATTCATATGTACTAAGTATGAATCCAACGTTTCGGAAACAACCATTTATATCTTCTGATGATGGAGACAGAAACAGTCTCCGAAACATATGTTTCTTATTCCGTACAGATGCGAATAATCGCTGGAGTGGACCAAATGGAACTGATGTATTGTACTATTGTATTGTATTAGAAGATGCTTCAAAATGTCGATTGATAAGGAGTTTGTAAATAAACTTTTCCGGGATATTGAAATCAATTTCACGATGGTTGCTGGACTGTATTCTCTACAAAGACTCAACAGGAATATAGAAACCAGCAAGAGCTCTTCCAATTTTTCTAAGAAAATCGGCAAAATATAATAATACATTTAACAATGTAGTCCTGTTTTTATATAATTCTCGTAATGTATATATTTACACTCAGTGCTTGAGGTGGAATGAAAATAGAACCGGGATGGTTTTCCCCTTTAAATTCACAGACATTTAATTCATAGGCATTTACTGCCAAAGCAGTAATGGGATGCTTTTAAGCCATTTAGAAAAGAACCGGGATGCCATCCCGCCACATCCCGCCCCACCTCAAGCCCTGTTTACACTAGAATGTGAGGCAAAATTAAGAAAATAATGTAGGATGCTGAGGTGGAGAGTATGGTGAATGAATGGAACACTTCCAAAGAAGTTGGGACCAAAACAGCAGAGCTGCCTTTAACAAGAAGTGCTCAATAACCGATATATAAAATGAAATATTTTATGTCAATTATATGCATATTATTTCTGTATTACACACTGACTCAAATTGAATTGTCCTTTATGCATACTACACCTAACGTGAGTGCTATAATAAACTAAATATTTAAATGAGCTACATATTGTGATATTATGCAGTCTCATTTCTATAAATTGTCATTCAGAACTAATAAAAATGTTTCTTATATCTTAATGAGACCTGGGAAAAGGAAAATATTAACCCAGATAGAACAGTAAGTCACAAACAAGTACAGTAGAACTTGGTTATAACGTCATCAAAGGGACCTAAAAATAGTGTCGTTATAAACGAATGTCGTTGTAACCGAAATGGGCACTTCCACAGTAGCCTTATGTTAGTCACGTAAAAATCTACCAAAAACCGAGTTAAAATGTTGCATTTTTTAGTGAAATACATAGTTAAGTACAGACTAACGTAACATTAACGTGGAATTGCCCAAATGTGTAATATCAAAGACATATTACAGCGCTTTTCACTGACAATACACACCGCACTAATACTGTATATTAAAGGTAGGCCTACTCACCAAATTACAGTAGATTACATCAATTGTTGTGCCTTACTGTACCTAGATACGAGTACAGTAATCAGTTATCTTCATCTGTTTCCTGTTACTTGCCCAATACACACTTTCTAAATTACGTTCAATGTCCATATCAGAGAAATTCAGGAATGAAAATGACGTTACATACGAGGTTGGTGCATTTGTGCATGTCGTACTAAGCAAGGTATAAAAACAGTTGCTTTATGAGGAATTAGTTCGTACCATTGAATATTTGACGCAATAGACAAGGTGTCGCAGAAACCGATGTTGCTATAACCAAGTTTTACTGTATATATTTTATCCACTGAACCCGTTTTATATTTGTTGATCATAATCTTGTTGTAAAATGAACACTGAAAGCACATATACATGACATAGAGTGATCATATCCCCAGAAGCTATGTACTGCTTATCGGAAACACAAATCAAATAACTGAAGGTATAGCGAAAATATTTATGACGTCGGATTGGGTCGGGTGAATTACTGCTGGAACTTGCCAGCACAGTCATGCTTGGTTTCAGATCCTGCGGGACTCACGACCGTATTTTTCTTTCTCACGACTCTGGGAGCCGTGCAACGACAGACTACAATGCCAAGGGATAGTTCATTTCAGCCAGCTTGAATTATAATTAAATACATCTATTAAATTTCATTATGTAGGAGAATATTTGGGCATAAGGAAGAGGAATTAACAATCAAGAGCTTTATAATTTGTATTTATCATCCAATTCGGTGGGTTAATTGACTGAGGAATGATGCGATGACCGAGAAATGTATCTCACATTGAAAATATGTAAATTCTTACATTCTTAACTGTAACAGGTACATAGAGAAGTGCCAATCATTTCGTAATATTAACTTTTAAGAAGTCAGAATAGCTCAGTCGGTATAGAGATGGTCTACGGACAGGACGGTCCTGGTTCGATTTCCGTCAATGTACGATTTTTCTCTTCTCCATACGGTGCAGACCAGCTCTGGGGCTCACCTAGCCTATGGATACCGCGGCCTTTACCCAGGGAGTAAAGCGGCAGGGGCATGAAACTGACTATTCACTTCCATATAGTGCCGAGGCAAAGAAAATGGAGCTATACCTCCACTCCTCCACATAATTTCATTGCACAGTGCTTAACAAATTTATCACAGGGACAACTTTACGTTTTATTTTTTATATAAGCTGAAACGTGAGGAGAGTTTAAATACTATGACCTACAGAACTACTGCTAGTCAACGGCTCAAAGAAAACTTTCCCTCAGAGACAGATTCTTGGTAAATAGTCTGTTGCTATGTAAAGCCTACAAGAATACAAGGCAACAATAGGATAAAATCCGTTGCTATACAACACGCTGCAAATACAACAATAAAAGAAGAAGTGTTTTCTATGTGATTCGCTTATATCCATTGCTTGGCAACGGATGCATTTTCTATGTGTCCGCCTCACGACTATATAAGTAGTCCAATCGGAAATCATTCGGAGAGAGAGAGAGAGAGAGGGATGGAAAAAGAGAATGGAACGAGACTTAGGCAGTCATTTATTGTGAGCTGTTGTAATTGATCGGGAGTAAGAGAGAATCTACAAAAAGGGGTCAATAAATCCAGTCCATAATCCGTTATTAGCTCCACAGACATAAACATGTGGCAATTCCAACTAATTATAAATTCATCGTTTATTTCTCATTTAGAGAGTAGACCGAAACAAATGTCTTAATAAAATATTGGACTGTTAATGTTATCCACCTCTATGGGGGAGGGGTAGCGTGGAATGGTATTTCATATTACCAGCCCTGCGCAAATAAACTTTAAGAGAGACAAAATATTTAAGACAGAGAAAACATTCAAATAATTTCGTGAAGACCTCAGTCTGTGTCCACACTAACTATCGGAAATCAGCAATAGAAATCCTTAATTGAGAAGATGAGTGTGAGGTTGGGCACAGGTTCGTCAGACACTCATACGCGAAGCAAACATGATCGAGGAACTCTGTCTCGATGATGTCATCAATGACACTTAACTTTCCCTTTTTAAAGCAATTGACTTCTCGCTGTGGGACCTGAACTATGCAAAGCCCTCTCATACCATCAAACATCTTGTCGCCATGGTAACTTAAAATGTCTACTTCATTGAATCTACGAGCTCTCGTAAAAGAGGTTCGAGCAGGTTTCCGGAGGGAGAGATCACCAAGGCGTGTTAGAAAGAGATATATCCACTGTTTACCACAGCTGTGATTTCGTTCGAGAAAATGATTTCAAGATGTTCTGCTTTCCCAGCCAGTATGGCAAGAGTCAGTCGCCTAAAGCTTTAGTTCCATTAACGGTATGTATTCAACAATTTCTTCCATGTATTTAGAAAATTCTGGTGTTCTACCGATAGGTATTTTTATATATTCTCTTGGGAGAAAATAAGTTTTTGTAGATAAAGTTCAGAGACTCAACGGATTTCATAACACTGTCAATTCAAATCACACATGAAGTCTTCTTTTCACAGTCTAATTCATTTCTTCTCAATCACCGTCGACTGCCATCTCCAGAACTCGACGAAATTCTCGACAACTCACTCAAATGAACATTTCTTCAACTTAAATCTCTCGTCTCCTGACAACTCTCCAAACTTCACTGCTCACACGACTGCCTAACACTTCTTTATAACCACTTTGCACGGACCACGCAGAAAACAGCCTCTATTGTTAAGGAGGCGTGTTTACTGCTCCGTTGCCTAGCAGTGAATGTCATATTGTTGTAGGCGTTTCCTTCCTCGGAAATATGCCTACCGAGTCGTCGCCTAGCAATGTCTCTATTCGTCACAATATTACGTAAAAGTTTCATAACATAAAAAAAAGGCAAAGGTATCCCTGTAACAGAACGTGGAGGCCCATAGTATTGTGAAATGTTGAGGTTCCCACATTTTCTAGACAATCGGCTCATAGATGGCGGCAAGTTTGTCAGCTTTATGCGCCGGCCACCCGTTACCCTGGTACTCATTTCTGTTAGAGGCTGAGTCGGCCCTAGGGCCATAGTGCGGCTGGAAGGATTAGGTCAATTGAAAAAAATCCAATGACCTCATCGGCATTTGAACCCGTGACCTTCCGGATTGTAGCATAGTGCCTCAACCAACTACACTACCGCGTGCCCCTTCATAACATATAATTTGTCAAATTATGTTTACCTACGTGGAAACCCTTAGGAATGCTTCATCATTACCTCAGTAAAGTGAAGTTGGACAGAACAGACATATCACTGGGACATCAGAGAAACATACCGGAACTAAGAGCATTGGCCGTAAAGGGAAGGACACATATCACTCCGCAGGTCCCACAATTTCTTTATTTCCTACAGCTTCATGCAGCCGACGCCTTCTTGAGAAGCCGCAGCCACTCGGCCAGTCAAGAATTCATTCCTCTATAGTTCTCGGCTGTTGGTACCAGCGTGTACGTCACAAGTTTTTTGGTATTTAAATATTAACTTTTTGGTAATTTATGTGGGGAGATGGAGCGGGTTTGGGGTAGGGGTAACGTCTTGTATTCGGAAGGTGTTTGCTTTGAGCCTCGGCCGAGACACCAGCTATCCTTGGTGGATTTCCTCAGGCCCTGCAGGAAAAATATTTGTTTGTACCTCGATTAGACCAAAATCACTTGTTTCCAAAATCTTTCTAATTTATAAATACATCATTCATTGTCTGTGCTGTGCAGATGATGACAGGATTGCAAAATGACCCATAAAGAACTTGCAATAATGGAATTTTTCAAAGCAAAGTGATTGCTACTTCTCGTCACTGAAGCACTTGTGAAATACTGCACTGGTCGCTAGTTGCCCATGACAAATGAAATGTAGTTGTGACAGGATACAAAGAATTGCTGGGCGTAAGGAAATTCTAACCACTGACCTTCGATCTGAAATGAAATATGTAGTACAACAATTGTAGTATAATTTCGTGACGAGTTTGTTCGCTGTAATTCTAAAGCTCTTCCCTAGACAACTGCAATCATACCACGCCTGTAGTTCCCATCTTTGAGTCTCGAAAACTATACACAATCGGAACAGAATTTCAGATCATTTCTAAGTTTACACTCTTTGAAGTCAATATTTTTAAGGATTGTATCCTGTTGCGTACATACAATGAACATACACAACTTTCACCGTCAACGCAAAAATAATTTATTATTTATTTGTATAGAACGCACTATATGTTTAGACATCAAAAGGGTCATCTTCAGGTACTGCAAGTTTCTCACAGACTATTACCGAGCTCCAACGTTAATATTCCCATTTTTATAAATGCTTCGAACAAGTTAGATCATATTAAATTCACAAACTAGACAAAACTTAGACTAGATTTTGGTTAAAATTAGCAATAAAATAAAATAAAAAAGAATCAGAATAAAACCCGTAAATATGTTAAACCTAATTTAAAAATTAAGTGATCATTAATCCACAATTTGACACTTAAAATGATCTTTGTAATTTATTGTTAATTTTAACCAAATTCTAGTCTAAATTTTGTCTAGTTTGTTAATTTAATAAGACCTAATTTGTGCGAAACATTTATAAAGATGGTAA